AGTTGCTGGCCAATACTATGTGCTAACTGAAAACAGAAAATGCTGGAGAAACTCAGCAGGTCTGGCAGCATCTGTGGAGAGAGAAACAGAGTTAATGTTTCGAGTCCGATATGACTTTTCTTCAGATCTCTCTCAAAACACTAATGCTGTCTCTCTCTCTCTCTCTTCACAGATGCTGCAAAACCTGTTGAGGATCATCGGCACTTTATTTTCCTTTCAGATTTCCAGCATCGACATTATTTTGCTTTGCTATGTGCTCATTGAACAAATTACTCTAATGCAGGGTCCCCTCCTATACTGAATAGCATTGTAAGAGTTGAGCGTGAAAATAGTGTGCAGTGATCATTTCCTTGGGAAATTAGTGAAATATTCTTTTCCTTCTAAGTCCCTCTGTAAAGAAATTCTTAATTTTGTCCCCAATCTGTGTGCTGTGCAAAAGACAGTCAACTTTAAAGAAATCTAGACTACATGGTGTTTCAAGAAAATAAAAGTCTTCATCTCCACTTGCTATCACTACCAGTGGTAAAATTATTCTGGTCTTTAACAGATCACAATAACTTTCTCCAGACACACTACACAATTGCAGGTTGAAAATTGACAGTGACACTTTTGGATGTGCTTCATTATTTCATTTCAAGTGGAAGTTGAATGAACAGTTCATACTCTTATACTTACAGAATTCTGAAAACCATGAGACAATATGGAAACCCTTGCTGATCCAAAACAACCCAACTATTTGTACCCAGCAATATCAGGTGTGCAACTCGCTGTCCAGACTGTCTGGTGAAATCAACTCCATCAACCTTAATGGTCTGGTAGAGATTGTGGTCAAATTGAATGAGAGATCCTGCTATCTCACTGGGATTGAAGAAACATAATTCATCAGGAAGACCAGCTCTGCCTTTGAGCACTGTTTCACTTCTTAGTTCATCATGTGGCAGCTTTAATTATAACCATGGGAACCTGCAGCCAGAGGGTCCCATTCTTAAGGCAGTGGCAGTGATGCAAGGCATTGTCATTGCCTAGGAAGAGAAGTGATTAACAATTCCTTAGCAAAAAGCACCCACTATTAAATTCAAAGTGAACTACACCTCAAGTTTACAAATTCCCCATTAGCAGATTAACTGATCCGCAGTATAACAAATACATGGTGGTGTAATCACTGGAGAAGATAAAAGCTGAAAATTCCTTCTGGAAACTGATGAGGATCCAGGATTGGCACAGATGGCCCTCATTATCCTGATCAGAAATGACCTGTCCCATTAGGAAACTCTATTTTCAATTGCTTCACTGACGCTGCTCATCAAGTAAATCCTGGATAGTCTGGGCTGAGGTGAAGAATGGGAGTGAATTGGGGGAAAGATTCCTACTGCTCTACGGAAAAGGTGAAACAAAAAACTTAAAACTTTATGTACTTGAGCGACCAGAATGGCAGAAAAGGCCCCAGGCCTTTTAATGGTGACTAATTTCTCAGAACATTTTAACAGTAGTTAGGCCCACTGAATATGCAAGTTTGGGCATCACTGATTTAGATTTTTTTTTAAAACAACTGTCCAATGAGTTTGACAGAAACCAACACCAGTGTGGATCTGGAGTAAAATTAAATCTATTAAATTTGTAGCTTTTGTACCTGACAATCAGACGCAACACACATTAGGGTATAGATTAATGTCTTTTGCTGCAGATACTGTAAAACAAAAAAAACACATTGAATCTTGAAGCTAGTCAACTTTAGATGGTTCTTATTGCTACAGTCCTGCCAAAAAGAACATGGATTCTGGACATTAGCAAATGGTGAAAAAGACCAATGGAATTAATTATCTCAGGGTTAACTTTAACTGGTTAACCAGCTCAAACATTACCCTCGTTAAAATAGGGATAGTTTCTAGCTTGTTAGGTCAAGAATTGCCAAGTTAGATCAGTTAAGGCCCAGTGTCAGCCACTGTCTAAAAATGGACCCCAGTGATCCCAACAGAAACAAGGAGATATTCACAGTAAACCCTCACTGCATTAGTGAACATAACTGAAATAGTGTAAGGGTGGATTGTTTGAGCTCAGCTTGGCTGCACAGCCTTAATTCTCACTTAACATCTTGCTTACAGTCAAATCCAATTCAATTTAAACCACATTAATAGGGTCTAAATTGCTTTTCATTGGCATCAGCTTAAATCAAAGATTTGCTTGTACTTAATATTATCTTTTACTTTAAGGAAAACTTGGGAGACCGCTTATTCTACTTGGGACTGGCAACACTCAAAAAGCGAGGGTTGCAGGAATAGAACCCTTCCCTATTGAAGGTGCTGAATGCCAGCATCAGGTAGCCCCAGGTCAAAGGAAGACACCAACAAAAGTCAAAGGCAGTCCTCATACATTCGTGTAAGAGCTGTTTCAGGTACTAACCTGGGTTTAAAGGCTGCCATTGTACACTAACCTAGCTCAAGGCTGCACACACTAACAAGGTGCCAGTCCAATCTGTAATACTGTACCTGTACCACAACTTGCACTTCCCACAGAAGACATCTTCCAACAGGAAAGGTTAAGGACTGTTTCATTTGGCTTGTGAGATTGTGCTCACAGAGTTGAGACATTACAAAGAGAATCTCTACAGGCAACTGGGTAGAAGCCTCTGTGGGGTTGGACATAGCACCCAATGAAAAGCCAATGTCTGATTTCCTTCACCACCTGTCCTGCAGGCAGAATTATGATCACTTTTCTGGAAGTAAGAATCTACTTTCTTCAGTCACAATTCTTTATTTGTTCTAATGATAAACCAGTTTCCTGTTATCATGAGAAAAGGCAGCACAGGCTAAGATTTTGCGCAGTAACCAATGGGCTCTGAATGAAGCCAAAAATCACCCAGAGTCAGAATTGTATTTAGTTTTGAACATTTGTTTCAATTGCCCCAGTTGCAGGAATTTTAAATAAAATACCACCACCATGGTGTGAAATGAAATATATTCTACAGTAAATCTCCACATAACCATTGAGCTTGCTAAACCCTAAATCATACTGGAATTAAACTTGTTCCTTTTTGACCGACTTCTTTGGTTAACCCCCAAGATAATGGCTGTGCAGCCAAGCCTTTGGAGTTTCATTTCCAATGTCCAATCTCCTTCACTGAAAAACAAGTGACATCACTTCAGGCTGTTAGCAGCCCTCCAACTGAATTATATTCTCAAATTGCAAGTGCCAGCAGTTCCATGAACAGGGAAACTTGGACATCTTAACTGTCATGCTCAAAGGAGAACTTTTCAAGTGTTTATTGGCAATGCCAATCAGATTTGCAGCTCAATCTCACAGCAACCTTCAATATGGACTGCCTGGTCTGAACTGCAACTGTATACAGTATCAGTTCAAAAGACCTCAAGGCCATTTGTAATAATCATTCAAAGCAATAGTCACCACATTTGTGTGCTAACCAAATGGAGTTCCAGTTTAATTAACATTTTTTTTCAAAAAAAGATAAAGAAATGATCACTATTAACCATATGGGTCCTTTGACTTCCAAATTATAATAGCCGAACATTTAATGAATCAGGAAACAAGGATTTGGGTTCCGTCACTGACAAATCAGTGTGTTATTCACAAATATCTTCAATAGCAGAAGTGCTACAAATGGGCAGTGAGCTTCTCAAATTAGGAAGCCTGATCTGTTGTCCAAACTTTTACTGACCATCCCCTCCCACCAAACTCAAGAGGATTAATGGTCTGCAATAATAATTGAAGTGCGTTTCATAAGCCACTTTATAAGTTGGGGCAAGGGAGGAGGGGAAGTGAGAGGTGGGAAGGATAAGACAGGGAATGGAGGTGAGGAAGGTGAAGATATTGGGAAAACTGGGGTGGGGTGGGGGAAGGCGGGGAACAATAGGAAATGGGGAAGGGAGATTTGGAAAGAGGAAGAAGGGGGAAAGGAGGAGGAAAATCGGATATCTTGTAGGTTTTTGGCCTGATACCACTTTGGCAACAATTTCACCCCTGCCCACTCGATAATCATGGGGACCATTCTCTCTGACCAATGAAATACAGCCAAGTCCAAAAGGTTCATCAGTCAGATGCAGGCAAATACTTCCCCTTTGCATGTAGAAATTGTCCTTTGTTGCTAGGCAACAGGACATTTCCCCCTCTCTAGGCTTGTGTACCCAATGTCCTGCTGGCTTTATTAATAATTAGAGGTTATATTACCAAGTAACTTTGTTGCTTTTTGATTTAGTGCTAAATGCATGGAATAACATTGGGATACAACAACACTGTTTGAATTCCCACATATTCACAAAGAAAAATCATATTTCACATCACAGAGGCAGAAAGACTACCAGAAACCTACAAATGTTAAAAGGATTGACAATTATTACAAAAATATCACAATTTTGTAAATATCTAACCATTCTGTCTGAACATCACAGAGTGCGCCTCAACCCTGACGGTGTAGGTTTGAATCCCCTCCATTCCCAGCGTACGTTTACTAAAATCTCTCTTTACACACACACACATCCATCTACCTCTCTCTCTCTCTCTCTCTCACACACAAAATCTCACGCAACCAAGATTCCAGATTCTGCCCCAAGCGATTCTCTCCTTCATAGTTAAAGAAAACTACATTGACTGTTCTCATAACTCAAGTTCAACACTTGTGTCTTTTCCATCGCACATTAGAAACTAAACCACCAACTGTTGCCTTTTCAACTAAAGGACTACACACTCTCTCTCCATTTTTAAGGCACCCCCAAATTTCCCTTTTCACTGCTGGCCAAGACGTAACAGCTGTGTACAGCTAACCCCGTCTTTTCACTCCCATTTCCCAAGTTCCTTTTGTTTTTAAAATGACATTCCCCGCCACCCTCATCCCAGCAACACCCTAACTACGGCTAGATTTCCTAAATTCCCTCCCTCCCTCCCTCTCCCCACCTTTACATATAGGTGCTGTTAATTTACCAAAGGAAATGCAGCAGACGATTCAAGCATGAGATGAACAGTTGTGGCGACAACGTAAAACACAAAAATACTGCAAACTGTGCTTTAATAACTTGCCAAAACAAAGTTTAAAAAAATAAGAGGTAGCTTTCAGAATATGTTTTGACTCTTACCTAACCTGGAAGAGACGTTTTCCATTCATTTTTAAACAAAAAAGCACAAAAAAAGGAAGAAAAAATAATAATTTGGTAATGACTGCGCACACTCAAAAACAAAACTACTTTCTCTGCTGTGGCACTTTGCAGTCCTTTAAGTACTTAAACTTGTTGCTACTGCCCGTCATATTTTGCGACTTATTTAATGACCCATGCCTGCACATGAAAGGAGGACATCCAAACAGGGAAAAAAAAATATTAGCTGAACAAGGTCATACAACACGAGGTAATTCCAAGCGCACTGTGTGAGACACAGAAAATGGTTCAAAAAAAATTTTTAAAAATCAAATTTTCTTCCCCACATTCACAGCAGTGTTTTTCTTTTCCCCTCTCTTGCTTTCATGGTTAGACGTAGCACAGATAGAGATACGTTTTCTCTATTCTCCAGTCTGGCGGAATATCCTCTGGCTTGTGGCCTTTCATGTGCTTCTGCATAGCAGAAAGGCTGGGGCAGTAATCTAAGCATATTGTGCACTGGTAAGGGGATGCCCCATTATGGGTGCGTAGGTGCTTGATCATAGCAGAGTAGTCCCGAGACCGTTGATGGCACAGTTTACATTCAAAAGGCTTTTCACCTGCAAGAACCAAAATAAAAATCACATTATTCCTTTGAAGATCAAAAGTTGCTTATTTTCCATTGACGAACACACAAGACAATATAGAATCATAAATCCCTATAGTGCAGATAGAGGCTATTCAGCCCACTGAGTTCGCACCGACCCTCTGAAGAGCATCCAACTCAGACCCACCCCCACATCTGTAACACTGCATTTCCCATGGCTAAACCACCTAGCTTGCACATCCCTGGACATTACAGGACAATTTAGCATGACCAAATCCACCTAATCTGCACATCTTTGGACTGTGGGAGGAAACCGGAGCATCCAGAGGAAACGCATACAGACACAGAGAATGTGCAAACACCACAGAGGCACCCAAGGCTGGAATCAAACTTGGGTCCCCGGTGCTGTGAGGCAGCAGTGCTAATCACTGTCACTATGCAGCCCTTATCCTCCTCTCCAACTCCCCTTTCTCAATTCCTTTGGCCCCAGCAACCAATTGTTGTTTTTCTCTCCACTCCTATCTCCATCAATTTTATCTTTCTCCCATCCCAATTCCACTCCCTGCTTACTTCAATTTTTAGCCCTCCTAACTTCCCCACCCCCCAACCTCACCACCACTATAGACCAAAACAGGATCATCTGGAAAAAAAATAGCCATTCATCACACAGTCTATTTAGGTGTAGGGGCATCACAATCATGGCCAATCCTGCTCACATTGAACACAGTGCCACAGCCCAATAGAAAGGAGAGCTCAGGAGAGCAAGGAGGGGAGGAAAACCTGAATAGGGATAGAAGAGAGGATGCTATAAAGATTAAAATATTTACACGTAAACAGTACAGCGAGTAAGGCAACACAAAGATGTTGGAAAATACAGCCATTAGCTTCCAAATCAATTATCGCTCATTTGAAACTGCTTAATTTCATTAAAGCAGCAATTTTGATCCTAGAGACGCTTGGATTCACTGTACAAAGAAAAACTGATCGTCAAATAATGTGAAAGACTTTTCTAGTGTCAAATTGTTCTCAAACATTCATTTGTCCAGCAGCGTTTACTGAACCAAATCTACAAGATGCACTGTAGCAAGCTGTTCTTTGACTAACACCTTCCAGACCTTACAAACTGGAAGGGCAAGAGTAACAGGTTCATGGGAACACCACCATCTACAAACTCCTCTTCAACTCTCTCACCATCCTAACTCACACCCTAAAACCCTAACCCACTCCCACCCCCACTTCCTACCTACTAGCCTCATCTCTGCCCCCTTGACCTGTCTGGTGATCTTCCCCCATCCGCTTCCAAGCTCATAGTCCCCCAACCCCGCACAGCTCGTTTCTACCTCCTGCCAAAAATCCACAAACAGGACTATCCAGGTAGACCCATTGTTTCAGCCTGCTCCTGCCCCACAGAACTCATCTCTTCCTACCTTGACTCAGTCTTCTCCCCCCGGTCCAATCCCTACCCACATACATCCATGATTCATCTGACGCCTTACGCTGGTTTCAAAGCTTCTAGTTTACTGGCTCCAGCCACCTCCTCTTTACCATGAATGTGCAATCTCTTTACACATCTACTCCCCACCAAGAGGGTCTTAGGGCTGTCCGCTTCTTCCTGGAACGAAGGCCTGAACCATTCCCACCCACCACCACCCTCCTCCGCTTGGCTGTGTTTGTCCTCACCCTCAGCAACTTCTCTTTCAACTCCTCTCATTTTCTTCAGGTAAGAGGGGTTGCCATGGGTACCCGCATGGGCCCTAGTTATGCCTGTCTCTTCGTGGGGTACGTGGAACATTCCTTGTTCCAGTCCTATTCCGGCCCCCACCCACAAATCTTTCTCCGATACATCGATGATATCATTGGTGCTGCTTCCCTCTCTCATCTAGAATTGGAAAACTTCATCAATTTCACCTCCAATTTCCACCCTGCCCTCACTTTCACCTGGTCTATCTCTAACTCCTCCCTTCCCTTCCTCGACATTTCTGGGGATAGACTGGCCACTGATATCCATTACAAACCCATTGACTCCCACAGCTACCTGGACTATACATCCTCACACCCCACTTCCTGTAAAGACTCCATCCCATTCTCTCAGTTCCTCCGTCTCCATCGCATATCTTCAGATGAGGCCAACATCGGCAAGGGAGCCTCCGAAATGTCCACATTCTTCCTCAACCGAGGATTCCCCAGCTCTGTTGTCGACAGGGCCCTCAATCGGGTCCGACCCATCTCCCGCAATTCTGCCCTCATCCCTTCTCTTCCCTCCCGCAACGGCGATAGGGTTCCCCTTATCCTCACCTACCATCCCACTAGCATCCACATCCAGAAGATCATCAGACACCATTTCCGCCACCTCCAGCAAGATGCCACCACCAGACACATATTCCCCTCCCCTCCCTTGTCCGCCTTCCGCAGGGACCGTTCCCTCCGGGACACCCTGATCCACATTTCCTTCACCTCCAACACCTCCCCACAGCCCTACGGCACCTTCCCCTGTAACCGGCGAAGGTGCAACACCTGACCATTTACCTCCTCCCTCCCCACTATCCAAGGGCCCAAACATACCTTCCAGGTGAAGCAACACTTCACCTGCACTTCCAAGAATCTAGTCTACTGCATTCGCTGCTCACAATGTGGTCTCCTCTACATTGGGGAAATGAAGCGTAGACTTGGCGACCGCTTCGCAGAACATCTATGTTCTGCTTGCAAAAAAGGCCCTGAACTACCTGTTGCCTGCCACTTCAATGCACCACCCTGCTCTCTGGCCAACATCTCTGTCTCCGGCTTGCTATAGTATTCCAGTGAAGCCCAATGCAAGCTGGAGGAACAACACCTCATTTTCCGCTTGGGGACCCTACAGCCCTCTGGACTCAATATTGAGTTCAATAATTTTAGGGCCTAAACTCTCCCATGTCCCAGCCCCCCCACCCCACACACCAGGCCTTGTTACCACATAGCCTGCACCTACACACCCCCTGTTAGTCATGAACAGTCCCCATTAACAACTATTCACCCTCCCAGCCTGATTGTTAGCAACTCCTTTGTCTGTCCAACTGTCTTGCTCTCTCTTTAGGCTCTATCCTATCATTTACTCCCTACCCCACCCACCTCCCTATTTTCTGCATATAAACTGATGTTTTCCCAGCCACCATCAGAACTGAGGAAGGGTCACCGGACACGAAACGTTAACTCTGCTTTCTCCTGCACAGATGCTGCCAGACCTGCTGAGCTTTTCCAGCAATTTTGTTTTTGTTCCTTGACCTGTGTCTTCCCTCCCACCTACCTGACCCTCCCTCCCAACTGACCAACCCCCATCCCAACTCCCTACCTGCACTCACCTTTACTGGCTTCATCCCCGCCTCCCTGACCTGTCCATTTTCTCTCCACCTATCTGCTCCTCTATCCATCTTCCATCATCACCTCCCCCTCTCTCTCTATTTATTTGAGTCCCCTTCCCCTCCCCCATTTCTGAAGAAGGATCCAGACCCAAAACGTCAGCTTTCCTGCTCCTTTGATGCTGCTTGGCCTGCTGTGTTCATCCAGCTCTACATCTTGTTATCTTGACTCAGAAATATATTGGTTATTCATTCACAGGATTAAAATCCTAACATTGCTGTTTAAAAAAAAACATGGACCAACACTAAATGGGCTGCAATGACTCCAGCAGGTGGTTCACTACCTACAAGGGCAAATGGGGGTGGGCAATAAATACCAGCCTTGGCACATGTAGATGCCTCCACATTCCATGAATGAGGAGAAAGCACAGACAGAAGTTTATCCAGATCTTTAATGACATTTAAAGCACGTTTTTAATTCAAGTATTTTCCATCTGCTTAAGAAACTAGCTACAAGCCATCCCCCATTATAAATACAAGCCTAGATGAGTACAGCTCTAAAAAGAGTCAAGAGCCCAACACCACCTAAAGAAACCTACTTTATTGGCAGCCCATCAAACACTGTTAACATAGACAACAACAGAAATTGCTAGAAAAGCTCAGCAGCTCTGACAGCACCTGTGGAAAGAAATCAGAATTAATGTTTTGGGTCAAGAGAACCCACTGTCAACATAGACTCGCTCTATCACTGACATATAGTGGCAACTCACCAAAGCTCCTTCAAAAGCACTTTCCAAACATGTGACTTTCTGCAAGGAGGAGGGCAGCAGATACATGGAGACACCATTACCTGTGAGTTCCCTCCAAGACCCACATCATCATGTTAGCAATCCTTCACTTTGGCTGGGTTAAAATCCCACAACTCCATGGCTAACAGTGCTGTGGGTTTACCCATCCATTAAAGACAGCAGTTGTTCAAGGAGGCAGCTCATCACCACCTTCTCTGGGGCAACTGGGGCTAGGCAACTAATGCTAATCCAGGCAGCACCCCATGAACAAATAACAAAAATACATAGAAGTTATAACATGCGTAAAGATCATTCACTCCATCCAGTGAGTGCTGGTGTTTCCCCTCTTTGTGAGCAGAAAGTCCTGATCACAATTACCCATCCTGCCCCTCAATTCCTCTCTGCAGTACTAACCATTGGATTAACGCTTGCTGGTATGCTTGTCACTGACATAGCTTATTAGCCACTGAACTGAGTTTTAGCCGCTATTTCCCGTTAAGGGTTTCAACGTCACCTTTCAAGACGATTGAGAGAGCATGCGAGATGCAGGCTGCAAATCACTGACATTGACAGATATCTGTGAGCTAACAGTTTAATGCGGGGTTGGATGCTACCATTCACCTTCAAGTATTTTACACCTGTCCATCCCGTCACAGCAGATTTCTAATCAAATTAATTTGTGCCATTTAAGTGCAGCACTTGAATTATAATCAGCTGGTAAAATTAGGGAATTATATAAAATTGCAATAGATTTTGTTTGCAAATTAATTCAGCTCATTGTGTACTTGCTCCTTAAATTTTCATTGACCTGATTTCCCAAATCAGCAATCCTGTCATCCAAGTGATTTAAACAGGATTAATTCAACCATGGAATCAAGGGAGCTGAGGCTGTA